ACTCTCTGCATTTAACCCATCCCCTTAGGGAGCAGTGGGCTGCCATTGGGTCTTTTTATTCAGGGGCCTAGAGTGGCAGTCCGTGGGAGTGGGGCTTGAACATAGAAACTCTGGGAGGTTATTGCAATGCCCTAAACACTCCCCCAAACTGAACTCTCTGCATTTAACCCATCCCCTTGGGGAGCAGTGAGTTGCCATTGTGCAGTGCACAATGAGTAGTGTGGGGCTAGTGTGGGTTGCTCAGAAACCTAGAGTGTCAGTCTGTGGGAGTGGGGCCTGAACTCAGAACCTATGGATTCCAAGCTCTATGTCCTAACTACTAGGCCGCTGTCTCCCGTTAATAGATCGGATCCGAACCCGGGTTGGCCGTGCCGAGGACCAAAGGGCTGGTTATACTCCCCGCAGTAGTAGTAGTGTGTCGCAGTGAGCTTGACGCAGACATTTTTGATTTATGCTCATTTTTGAAGCGTGCTCTGCGCTACGTTATATTCCACGCCACAACGCAATAGGGGACAATCACGAACTAGCTGTTGGTCTAGATACGGCCGAGGCGGTGGGGAAGTGGGGGCAAGTTTGTGCGACAACGGAGGGACATGAGGGCGAAAAAGAGCGGGGATCCAGGTGGAAAAAGGGTCCCAGCGTTCTCGTGTACCTCGCTCTTGTAGCTGGTCCAACTTCACGAGTTGTATTCTGCAAATGCGGTCATACAAACAAAACAAGCTCGCAAGCGGATGTAGATTTGACCAATCAGAGTCTTCCTGTCTGCGGTACTGTCTGCGGTCACCTACAATTTGGGAAAGGTGCAGCAGAGTGTCTGCAGAAAGGGCGGGGACGTTTTTGCATTCACTGCTACACCTAAACACACGACCCAGTTTGGATGTATAAATCAGCCTTAAGGCCTCTGTACAAGGGTTATGTGTGCTAACCACTCCGCCACAGAAGCATGCCCCATGTTGCAGTCATCACTTGTGCACAAATATGTAGTCTGTACTTAAGTGGATTATTTATGATTAAAGGTATAGTTGAGGATTTTTTTTTTTTTTTGCGGGTGGATCATCAAATAATTGGTCCTACTAATTGTCAATCATTCTGGTGATATGTTTGTCTAAGGCCGTCTTAAGTGCTCGTCCCCATTTTCACTTACCCGTGGTGAGTCTGACACAGCGTAAATATTCTTTTGGAAGGTAAGCTTGTATGAGTGATGCATACAGCACCTTTTAAACAGAGAGTGCACCAGGAGAAATGGGCTTGTGCATGTTCTCGCACGTGTTTAATAGGCGTTCCCTCACGGGAGTGGGTACAGGTTTGTGTATGTGCATTTTTTTTTTAAAGTGGAGAGCTCTTTTCAAAATTTCATGAAAATCCTCCACTATACATTTAAGTATCTCGGTCATAATAGATCTCAGATAGTGTAAGATCAGTTTTGAGAATTGAGGTGAGATTCTCATTAATCATGCCATAAAGGTTTTTAGTACAGGGACAATTTCATGGCAAAATTTCACCAGCTAAAGGTTTACATTTAGGTTTAACTGTATGTCAAATGCAAAATACAGTAGTGTGACAGGCCTCTAACTTTGTATCCATTTGGTAATTAGATTGTGCCTAAATGAGTACAGTAGTCATCATGCAATCAGATTTCTGTCCATCTCCAATAAATTCTTTGAATCCCCCTGAAGTGCCGTATTTGTTTAATAAAAAAAGTAGATTATGGGTATTATCAAAGCTATACCTTCACACTTTATCAGCTCTACATCAATGTTGCAAATCACATCTTGCAACATATCCCAAACCTGTTTTATTACGGTATATTATAATCCATAATTTGAGCACAATAGCTTGAGATGATTTGAGGTTTGTGAAGTGGTGTAGGAAGTATCCACACCTACAACTTATGACTCTATTATTTAAATGTTGTAGCAGAAATCGAAACAAGGACAAGATTAAATTTTTTTTAAAATCTTTGTTATGCTTGTTGAAGATGTAGCCCCTGGATCCGACATCTTGCATCCAAAATAAGCAAAATACAGAAATGGATCTCCAAAAATCTTTTTTTTAAAGGTTTCACCCTTATCATAACTATATATTGGGATTTGTAACCTGATCCCCTAATCATAGATTTCACATACTACACTCACTAGAAATCAGAAACATCGTTATCAGCCAAGTTTGTGTCTAAAACAAAGAAATTTACTTTTTTCAATGTTCACATCAAAACCAGCAGTAGAAACAACAATTACAGTGAGTAGAACAGTTCCATATAAGGTATAAACTACAAGATAAAACAGAATAATAGAAATATGTATAGGTGTACTGTTCTGACTAATTACTACTGCTCAGTAGATACAACCATATCAAAGAACTATCCCTTTAAATAGGGGACATTGCCATCCAAAGCAGTCAGATGTTTGTATCCTATTTGAATATCTTTTTCTTTTTGTTTCAGCATTTAGGAGCAAATGCATGTAAATGCTTTTTGGACAAACATGGAGTTGTGTTTGTGTTGTTGGGCTGCCCACCTCATTTGCATTAATATTTAAGCTCCAGAGTCGGCTGAAAATCTACAAGCTGCATGTGGATGAATTATGTAAAAGAATGGTGCGGAGCACAGTACAGCCATTTCCCCTTCATCTCAATCTCACAGCGACTTCATCTGTTTTAAGTATGCTTACAGTGACAGATGGAGATTGAGGTGAGTGTTTGCTTGCCCTTATCTCCCTGTTCACTAATCCTCATTATCGGTAGAAGGAGAAGAAACCCTTTCTCCTTTTGAAAACTATTGACTAATTTAATGCTTCACACTCAAACACATACATCAATTAAATAAAAAACAGTATCCAAATGCTTTCTGAATTTTTTTTATTTACCAAAAGCAAAATTTTTCAATGAAATTAATTATCTTATTCAGAAAACTATTCTGTATGTAAAGTAGTTTTGAAACAGAGTCCTAGAAATAATAAGAAGGGTTAAATCAAACACGAAAAAAATTGAATCGATGCAATATAACAAAAAAACAGAATGAAGATGAACTTGTCTAAAACAAGTTCTAAACTTTGAATAATTCCAGCAAAAATAGCACCATTTTTAGTTGTATAAACATGAAGCCCTGCTAAAGATAATTGTTTCCTACTGAAAATGAGGGAACATGCTGCTGGTTTGCTCTTGTGAGTGATTCCCCTTTAAGAATACCATTAGCATCTTGGTGTTCTGCCTGATCCAAATGGTCTAAGAGGCTGACTGCTGATCTTGGATTTTTTTGCCCTTTTCAGCTCTAATGAATGAGACGGTCAAGGAAAGCTGGCAAATGTTTCCAAGACAGCACAGAGCAGATTGAAAACTGCAGGTCCCTGCTGTTACCTTGTTGTCATTGCTTAGTGAGCAAATAAAACTCCACATCTACCTGCTTATATGAAAATATTAATTGTCAAGGTTAACTTTTCATGTCATTGAGATTGTATTAATTCTTTTCATAATCTGTCATTACATAAGACCAACAACAAAAAGTTTTTTAACATCTAATAGACTCTTAAAATCAGATTTATATTATTTCTTTAATACATTAAAAGAAGGTTCAGATTAAAGTTTCTCCTTTCATTTAAAAAGCAGAAAATAAGTACTTTTATGCACTGCTGATAACAAAAACAAATCTCCATCCCTGTAAACAGCAGATAGCATCCTGTAGATCACGCATGCCAAGTCGGTTCTCAAGAGCTGCTGTCCCGCAGGTTTTAGAGGTTTCCCTGCTTTAGCACAGCTGATTCTGATTATCAAAGTCCAGCAAAAGCCTGTTAATCAGCTATCAATGAAGAATCACCGGTGCTGGAGCAGGGAAATCTCTAAAACCTGCAGGACAGCAGCCCTTGAGGACCGACTTTGGACATGCCTGATGTAGATTCACAGTTTTTAATTGGTGGTAAGACACTGCTTTTGATATTGCTACTTTAGGTATGCTTATATATTTATTGAGCATTTATTTATTTATTTCTGTGTTTTTTTTCAATATGGCAGACTTGGTCCTCCATATGCAAGTTCTGAAAGAGATGTATAAATGATATCTCGCTAAACAGAGAATTTAGATTTCTTATTCCTTTTTATGAATATTCCTTACTGCTAATCAGCGTTATAGAGATTTACCTTGGGACATATGAGTACAGTTAAGTGTAAAAGACATTAAAATCAAATATTCATAATTGGTGCCTGAGATAAGAAGCTGCATAAAATGTCAATTACTGTGCAACTGTTAAGGGTGTCCCATAATAGAATTTTTCCCCCCAGACTATTACTTTCTAATTTCAGTCTGGACCCATGTACATAGTTGACTGGTTGAAAAAAAGATGCTGAGGTAATTGACACTGAAAACCAAATCTGAGCAGAACAAACAGGCCTTTCCAAAAGAAATCAAAAATTTTGTTTCTGACTTATTTTCTGTTTGCAAGTGATCCAGTCATAGATTAAAAGATCCTGAAACTTAAAACAAGCCTTTAATCAAAGAACCAAACCTTTAATCAGTTGCAGCCGTGTAGCGTGTTTATAATGAGTTTGTTTGAGCTAAGCTAAAAAAAAATACCAAAAAAAGCAAAAGTTTAATCAGAAAGTGTAAGGCTATTTCAGCACGTGCTAAGTTTCCTCAGTGCAGCAGACTGAACCTTTTATATTCCACCACCAACCCCGGTACTAAAAAAGAATAGCTAACTGTATAGAATGAATACAATATATTAACTTTGCAATGCTGATAACATTTCATAAGAGTTGGCCCTCTTCATAATGTTTTTAATCATGTTGTAGAATGATAAATTATTAAAATATTGCTTTTTCAGCCTTGTAAAATAAAATTTTAGGTGTCTTAAAACACAGGATTTGGCAGAGTTAAATCTGCCAAATCATCGGACAAAATATAGAGAAAAAATTGTTCGCAAAAAAAATTAAAGTTGCAAACTAGGCTTTTGTAGTGTTTTAATTTTATTTAAAAGATATTATGACTTTTTTCTTGTTTCTATATATTCTCGAAAACTTAAAATGTTAAAACTCATTGTCTCACCCAATAATATGGAAAAAGCTATCTTCAAAGACCATAAAGACTTCCTGTTTGCATGTTATTTCCAACCTTTTGATCAAAGCTACAACAACAGAGGAACTTCAGTTACTTTTTTGTTCAAACACATCTCAGATGGGAAGACGTTAGAGTTTAGTCACGAGGTGACTGACAAGCCTCTGAAGGTCCTGTGCTCGATGTTCAGTTGTCCTCAGCACCTCCTCATGGTTTGCCCTTTCGCTGCTTTCGTAATCTGTCACAACCTTGTTTGTAATGAGGGACAGACCCAAAACACGCATTCCACAGTGACGAGCCACCACCACCTCAGGAACAGTGCTCATACCTGCACAGAAAGCCCATACAGATATTCAACAAAATGCAAAACAATACATTCTCAAGGTTTTGGGGACTAAGATACTGTGAGACTGAATCAATAGCTAAAAAAGGGTACATTTCAAAATTTGTGGGGTTTAGATCAAAACAACAAACTAATTTTAGTTGAAAGCAAGAATAATTTAGCCCTGCAAAAGAATTGTGAGAAACCTGTTTTCTGACATTCCTGCTTGCAGCTGTACATGCAGTTTAGTGTAGATTAGTGTAGATTTTCTCTAAACTCAGACTAAGCATTATTATTTATTTTGCAGTTTACTTTTATCTTATATCACAGAGCTCTAAAGTAAATGCTTCTCTTTAATGGAGCTTTAGCTGTACTCACCCACAGCATCAGCCCCAAGCTTCTGCAGAACTCTGCTCTCTGCAATAGTCTCATATGTCGGTCCAGCTAGCATGCAGTAAACGCCTTCCTGCAGGAAGCTGTCACAGCCCTGCTCCTTTGCTGCTTGCTTTGATAGGACCCTCAGCTCTCGGTCATATGCATCAGACATGCAAGGGAAGCGCACTCCAAACCTGCAGCAACAGTAGTTGTTCAGTATCAAACTGAATCCTGACATGCTTTGGTGTACTAAACTGACAGAATTTAAATAATATACTGCTTAATTTGTTTGCATTCTACCTTGCATCATTGTGCCCACACAGAGGGTTCTGCCCAGCAAACCCAGGCATGTTGATGTGATCCTTGATAAGCATAATGTCTCCTACACTGTAACTGTCATTGAGTCCACCTGCAGCATTCGTCACAATGAGAATTTCCACACCCAGTAAGAAGAAAACTCTAACCGGGAAGGTGACCTGAAGACAAAGATGATATGTGTCAGAAACAAATGCATTCTTACTTTATCATTTATTATTTTACACCAGTAAAGGAGGCAAGCTCAGAATGAACCACATGAGAAGTTAATATTTCACACCCTGATGAAAGCTTTATTATTATAGGCTCCTGTACATAAAAAGGTATGTGCTAACCTTTAGAGAGCAGCTGATGGCATATAAATGACAGTTCCTCCCTCTCATGACAGTCATATTACCTTTTTCTGTTTCTCATTTCCTAACTTATTGCAATTTCACTGAAAGCATATCGTTAGTTTAGTAAAATATTTTCAGCCTTTATGTCTTGATAAGGTCAATGCTGTCACTTGAGAATATCACCATGTTTTGTTAGAGTTTTGCATATTATAAATGCAGTCCCCGTTAAAAGGTTGGATCTCAGATGGGATGGGAAGATAGGAGGTTTACCAAAGTAATTGAGAAAAGCCTTTCATTAAGGCATTACTTGCATAACTAAGAAAAGAATATCGTTTATCTATGGTAATAATGTCAGAAATCATAAATCAGAATATAGTTAATTGCAAACAGAGGGATATATTTCAGGCATTTGTTTATGTTATGTCTAATGATCGTAGTTTAGACTTAATGAAAAACATCATTAAGTATCTTGAGAAAAAATTATATAAAAATAAGATTAAGATGCATTTTTAATACAAAAAATGTTGAACTACATAGTATTGGGAATTTTTATAGCTTAATGTGCAGGAGCCATATTGCTGTATGTATCTGTACTTCAATTATACTATGCATGGAGCAGGATTTTATGACTGTGTCTAGTTATTATGACAGTTTTATGAGAAGATGGCACAGAGTAGTCAGTAGTAAACTAAAACTAGTAGCCACAGGCCAAAGGCCAGTCCTGTGTTGATAATTTTTCACAACTGATGTTGTTCTCACTGCTGTCTCAGCTGATTATTCAACACAGAGAGTAAATCATTATTTGAATGGTAGAGGCAAAAATAACCTATCATGCTATAACAGAGTCAAAAACTGCTAATTTATGTCATCACCAAGGATTTAATTAAATCTGTATATAGAATAGTAGGAAGAAGGCTCTTCTTGGTTGGATAGGAAGTGCCTCTTGGATTATGTCTGAATCTTCATATAATAGAGTTAAGAATTTTAAAGATGAACAAAACACATTCAAGAATAAGTCAAGGACAGAGCTTAAAGATTAGGGTCCAACTGCAAAGCCAGTAAATGTTTGCCGCAATGTGATTGACAAAGTCAGAGATTAAACCGCCAGCTTAACATCAGTCACCCCGTATAGTATATCATTTGCATCAGCAAGGTCTGAAAAAAAAGAAGAGGCCAGTGAGCATTGGAGAGTAAAAACGGCAAAGATGCCAGGTGCTATAAGCTTTCAAAGAAATTATTATAATGAGGATGTTAATGATAATATATTATAAAAAAGAATAACAAAAAATTGCCACAGATCTTTCTAAGACATTAACAATAAAAGTTGAGCAAGGGGGATAATTAAGGAAATATCAAGATGTTTAGCTAAGATGTGTGTAAGAGAAGTTTACACATGTTATCTCTTACTGTATGTTACTATTAAATGATATATTTTAGAAGGAAGTGTGTAACAAAACCCTAAACATGCACTGAAAGATTCTCATCTGAATCAATAGAAGGTATCCAAAGGAACACTATCAGTTTTAAGTTCATGTTGCCATGGTGGTAAAGGTTATAGAAAACCCAGAGACAAAAGCGTAGAGCTTTAACACATTTTGCTATTTACCGTGTGAATGTTGTAGCCTTCGTAGAAGTGGAATCGCCCCTTCATGCAGACACACTCGCAGCCCTGCAGCTTCCCAAACACCAGCTGACCTGCATGGCCCTGAACTGTACATCACACAGAAAGTATGAGCTGCTACAACAAGGCTGCAGGGAATTTTGCTTATTGAAAGATTGTAAAATTTTATCAGGCCTCACTTAAGGGCCATAAATTTGTGTAGAGAATTCCTGTAGATGTTCCAACAATGAACCAAATTAAATGACAAAGACCACAGTGCTAAACATTTACTCTAATTAATAGAAAACAGTCTAATACGACTTTAATACCATTAAACGAAAGAGCTGGCATTCAATCATTGGAATTAAAATCAGGTGTGAATCAAGGTCCAATTTCTTTAAAATACTTAATAATGAATAAGCTTCTAAAAGAGTTATTAGAGATGCATTTTGGCAGAGACCTTAGAAGTTCTCCATTTAACTAATCTACAAACAGACTGGGTAAAATTGTGGACAATTAAGACAACTGTTCCCCAAAACTGAGCTATTGTCCAACAAATGTCACTCAAGGAAAGAATGAAAAGCAACATTGAGTATTTTTTCAGCAATGGAAGGCCCTCGTTAATTCGAGCTGCATGAAAATGAAAGCATAAGAGTGAAATCCATCTTTGATTTTCATATGTAGAAAGAAAAACAACCATTTTACAATTATAGGACCTTTATGGAATTTGTCAGGCATGGTGGTGGTAGCATCATGATTGATAGACTGGTCAAAATGAGAGTAAGGTAGACATTAAAGTAGAATATAGCTGGTGCTTTAGAACACACAAGCCAAGGTTCCGATTTCATGATCAAATCTGTATATCACCTCACAATTTATAGGAAGAATTTTACAAAGCAGTTGAGAATATTTTTGTCCATATTATTAAATAAGTAGATATAACATCCCTGCATAAACCTTCTGGGAGAATAAACATCTTACCAGTGCTGGTAGGAAAATATGGAATGTCTTTATATGGGAAGATGGTCTTATCATCTAGCAGTTCGGCGAGACCACCCAGGCCTGAACCACAGATGATGGCCACTTTGGGACGCCTCTCTGTTTGTGTTAACAACCAGTCTGCCGTCTCTTTGTACTTCTCATAACTGTAACTGAAAACACATTTTCTCAATCACTGAAACTGTCACTGATGAAAGGGTTAAATATGTAAAAAAAAATAATATTAAACAATTACAGTTGATATAAAAGTTCAACCTATACAACAACTTATTGAAATATCTGGTCATTAGGATGTAAAAATGAGACCATTGTATTGATCCTGTCTCTCAATATCTCTCAACCTTTGATTTGGCATATTCTGTACAATGCAACATAAAAAATATTAGAGTAAAATCATAAATAGTATCAAAGGCCATAAATACCCAGAGTCATAAACATGTACATCACTAAAATTAGAAATTTATAAGCATCTTCTGATTCAAATTTTTACTTTGAGTCTTCTTGGACTAACACCTGGAATGAAATATAATGAGACTACAAAATCTGAAATAAAGGTTTGTTCCCCAATGAGAGGTTTACTGATATTTGCCATCATGTTTGGCTAAGACCATTGTTCACAGAATAATGTTATATAAAACACTGTGCAAAAGTCAATTTAGGGGCACAAAAGTTGTTTAACTCCATGGGGAAGTAAGACAGGTACCAGCAAATTAGAAAAAAGGACAGAGGTAAGAGTGTAAAACCTTGGATGTCTCTTTGCAATGGAATAAAGTACACAACTGAAACTGGAGGAAAGCTCTCAAGATACCTGTAGCAACACTGAAAGCTCTAAAGAAAGTTTACAGCAAATAACTGGTAGATTTTTGTTAGCAACTGTATTCTCTGGTGATCGTCATATCTCTGGACTTAGAAGCAGGCTTGTTAAAGGTCTCTTGAAACAAATCTAAATGATTTGGTTCAGCATTTCAAATAAGCTGAAACGCAACATTGCACATCAACAAAAGATTGCCATAATAAAAAAATACTTAAAGCTTATGTCTTTGTGAAAGAAAGTTGGAAAAGTTCCAAATAGTGGCTGTTTATCACCAGAAAAATTAAGATTTCAGCCTGAGGTCAAAAATCTTGACTGACTCAAGACGTAGGAAGCTCATGAAATGAATCCAACAGTGCATAAATAAAGAAACCAAATTTGGAATTTACATAGTATAAGTCACTTTTAAAAGTAATTTACCATTAACTTATTTTCAACATGAATGAGGGTGGGCAAACTGACCTTAATGTTAAAAATGACAAAGTATGAGAGTTCTGTTAATTATTGAAACCATCAACAATATAGATTTTAAGTGTGTAAAAAAAGAAAATCTTCTGTAGAATGAACAGGCAGTGTACTGAATAGAGTAATAGAAAACAACACTATATGGCCTGTGTAAATAAAAAAAAAAACACAAATGACAAATGACACAACTGATTAAGAGTCTTGTAATTGAAAAAAAAAAAATACAGCATTTTGCACATTTATCTAGACACAGTTTGAAACTGTGAGGAACTATCAAAACTCCACAGAGTAAAATTGATATTTCAAAGTAATGAAACATGGACAACAGATCCAGATTTAATTCATTATACAACCCCTCTAAGTACAGGAAAGTTTAACCAATAAATTACATTATACAACACAGTTTTGGGTTTTCTTGTTGCTGCCAGACAAATCATTCTTCTAAAATGTTGATTAGATTTGAAATGCCCCAAGGTGCAACATTAAACAAAGTCAGACGCAGTGTGTAATTCTTAACATAAATCTGTGTGGAATGATCACCTTTTTAATGTTCTCTCTGTAGCCCAAGCTTTGTTATTAAGACAGAGTGAGACTTCAGGCTGCAGCGGTTTCAGGAAGAGAGCCTGATGACTTTGAGCCCAATTTGGAGCTGCCATCTAGGATGACTGCTGCATCTGAGCAGCCCTGGGCACTTTCCAGGTCTTTTTATTTATTTATTTTCTCTCTTTCTTTAATTTTAACTCAAAACCAGCCTTATATTAAATGATTAGGTAATGTTTTTGTCTCAAGTTTTTGTGCTTGAAAACATTGGAGAAATGTATATATTACATATATTCAGACTGAGAGGAAAAGTTTGGTTTATGTTTCAAAACAAACGACTGTTAATTATCATAAGTTATTCATCTTTCTGAGCACAACAGCTGCTAAAAAAGAGATCTGTGGGGGTTTTTTTTTCAAGTTAGTGAGCCACTTTTTCAAACAAACACTCCACAAACAGACACCTGACATGAATGACATTCTGCTGTCATTTATTTATAGAATTCAGGTGACTTAAAGAGAGCATCTCTTTTGAAATAGGTGATTCATAAACCCACAGTAAACCAATGAAACAGCAACAGCAGATAGCACAACATAAAATAGAAGCTATAGATTAACCATTTAAGAAAAGATACTAACAACTAAGAAAACTGTGTTTGCATTGAAAAAAAAAAAGACAATTGCAAAAACTTTTTTTTTCATGAAAGAATAATGTATGGTGGTTTATAGCAAACTTTGATTAACTTAAACCTTGGTTGTTTAAGTTTTGTTGTCACAAAAAAAGAACCTTGCACAATTTTCTTTTTCTTATCATTACCTTATAATTATCCTCTATGCTGCAAGACTTCCTTGTAATCTAAGCAGGTTGTCTGTTCTTCAAAAGACAGCAGAGACACTTAAAACTTAGTTATACATGAAACCACTAACATTCCTAATGAAAATTCAGCAAGCTAGTTTACAGGTTTTGGTACCTAACCGAACCACGCAGATCTAAATTAATACTAGTGTAATTACACATTTAAACTACATGCAAAAAAGAAATTTCACCATTTCCATGTAAATGTTTCCATCCCTTTGTGTTTGGTATGAATAAATGTCATATTAATTGTATGTTTTTATATTATACCATTGAACTTTTCTTTTCTTTAGAACAATACAGATAACTTCAATAAGGCTTAGAGTCAAAGGATTTAAGGT